TTTCGTCTGCTGGGTTCACATTTTGTTTGTTTATGTTTTGACTGCATACGGTTGTACTTAATAAAACAAAAATTTTAATTACAGTATACAAACAGAGTAAACTTGTCAATCTTCACTGTTCATCTTGCGGAGACATTATAGACTCATCTTTACAGTCTTTTACCCTTCTCATAAAATAAACTCTAGCAAACACAATAATATTATGGCTTATGAAATTAGGTATTACAATGCTAATTCATAACAAAGACGATATCGAATTCGTCACTGAATTCCCATGTTTTTTGGGACACCCTGTACCTTGGTCTCAATATAGCTTTAAAAAGATCTTATACCTTGGTCTCAATATAGCTTTAAAAAGATCTTATACCTTGGTTTCAATATAGCTTTAAAAAGATCTTATACCTTGGTCTCAATATAGCTTTAAAAAGATCTTATAGCTTGGTCTCAATATAGCTTTAAAAAGATCTTATACCTTGGTCTCAATATAGCTTTAAAAAGATCTTATAGCTGGGTCTCACTTTGGCTTATTAATTAATACGTCGTATACACACGAACATACTGGTCTCACTTTGGCTCATTAATTAATACGTCGTATATACACGAAAATACTTCGTATATTAGGAATAAACGCACTAATGAACGAATCGCCATTTTGGTCCCCATGTCCCTGTTTGATCTTTAAATTATATACGAGGTCCCAATATGGCACATGGACATTGGGACTGTCCACATTTTACTTGTTTTGGTCCTACTTTGAACGTGTAAAACTATACGGTCAGGCAATGACAATTAATATTGTGATTTTTCCATCTTTTCGCATTCTTTAGACTACCCCAGACAATTTATCTCAGTGCCCACAATGCGTAAAATGATGTAAAATTTTCTTTGTATAATGTTAAGCAGTTTATAAACTGAACACACGATTAATTGATTGTTAATAAAATTCTAAAATTTCTTAAAGGTATAATCTTTAGCGTAATGCGGCAGGATTTAAAAAATTGCAATGCCTTAAAATTCTCATTTAAGAACTTAATAAATGCCGGAAGACTCAAATGGTGTGGCATGGAAGACCGTACGGTTGTGGCTCATGGCTCCCAGAAGACAAAAAAGATTATATGTGGTATGGAAAAGGACAAGATTTCAGCAAAATAGGAATTACTAATTTTAGGCTGAGATTAGATGTAGATAATATATGTGGGCCGAGCGCTGTGAATAGGACACGCTAGCTGGCCGAGCGCTGTGACAAAATTGATAGGGGAGGTTCCAAAATCGTTTTCTAGTAATTTACCAAATTAAAACATAAAATTTATTTGAAAGATTAATTAATTTCTTAGGCTTACCTAATTTCTTTCTGCCCTTATTTAGTGGTGTTAAAGCATCCTAAAAATTTGTCATTTTCCATGAAAATAATTGATTAATTCTTTCCATTAGTTTTTTAATGCAAAAATCGACTAAAATAATAAAGATAAAACTATAAAGATATTTAATCACTGAATAATTTATGTTTGAATTTTCCCTCCCAGCCCACGTGTGCCATTATAAGGCAGACGCTGAACTCCAACCTTTAAGTGTGGGAGGTGGGGAAGACTTCACTGCCGCGCTTAATTTAAAGCATGACTACGGTGGGATGACATTTATAGATCGAGATTGAATCCTAGCCGTAGCGCTCGGCCCAGAAAGTGTCATAACTTATCCTAACCCGTGGCCGCAGCACTCAACCCCCTAGCCTGTCCTAGCCGCAGCGCTCGGCCCAGAGAGTGTCTTAATTTAACATAACCCTAAAGAAATGAAGTGTCATAACTTAACCTAACCCGTGGCTCAGCGCTTGGCCCCCTAGCCTGTTCTAGCCGCAGCGCTCGGCCCAGAAAGTGTCTTAACCTAACCTAACCCTAAATAAATACTAATTTAATTGAAAATTGTTGAAAAAGTGGCCATGTACAAAAGTAAAATCTGCAGTGAAGTCTCCCCCACCACGCGCACTTAAAGGTTGGAGTTCCGCGTCTGCCTTGAGGGAGTCATGTTTAGAATATTTTACACGGAATTACTATCCTCGTCTTCAATAAACAATGTCGTCTTTAATATGAACATTTTCATAAACAGAGCATCCCGTAACTATAGATTATATCCAAGCTATAACGCCAAAATACATAAATAATACTCGAAAAACCTAATAATTTCCTGCAAGAAAACTTTTTTAAAAATTGTTTTACGCTTTTGAAAATAATTCAGTGTTTTGAAATTTTCCCTAAAATGAGCTGAGCTATACATGAATGTTGTGTGGGGCAACCTTGTAAGGCAGTTTAAAGTGTACGCTTTTTTAACAAACAATAATAAAATATTAATTTTAACAAATGTTGATGGTTGGAATCAATCATCCATATAGCAACTCTGTGAGGTGTTTAAATAAACTAAAACGCCTCATATAGATATCTAATGCAGACTTTTAAGCTGGTTGTACAAAAATATAAACGTTTGAAACGTTACGTTGCGCAGTATGACATTTAATGACATAGAGTAACGTTATACGTAGTGAATTTTCTGCAACGTACAACGTTAAGCTTTGGAAAATGTTAGTGAAAAACAGTAAGCTCTGTTACGCTTTTCCATTTCCTGTTTTAGATAACTTTCCCAACGTTTCGTTAGAGCTTTAGTAATATAACCACATTTTTTAGCGTTCCACTTTTATGCAAAGTAAATGTTTTCAGAGACCTTACGTGTCACTTTCACTTGGTTTGAAAACTAAAATGGTGACGAAGGTTTTGCTTTAATAAAACGTCATTAGAGCATAGTTCTGTACGTTGCAAAGTATTTAAGTGAAAAGAATTTGTTTGTTAACGTTACGTTTTATCTTAACTTTTCCAATATAAACTATTTTAATTATAACGCTTAGGAATTTTACTAAAATGCAACTTTTCTTACCTTACAATTTATCGAAACGTTTTTGTTACACTATTTTACAACTGGCAATAAAAACAGTTTATTCGTTTCTAAGAAAGATATAAAAAAAATATTATATAAGTTACATTGTATTAAAATGTTCAGGCCATGACGTGTCTTTCTTTACACTTCATTAAAAATAACATTGGTCCTAAATGAAACATTACAAGATTTTTTCCGTGATAATTGTAATTCCTATAACTTTATTTAAATTATTTTTGTCTAGTGGTGGGCGTACACAGGGTTCCCCTATTTTTTTGTGGGGGACCTTGTGTTCTCCTCCCGATCAGCCCCCCCCCCCAAAAAAAAATTTATATTTGGGGGGACCCTGTGTACGCCGCCTCACCTTGAAATCGCCTCGTAATAGCTCCGTACCATGGCTTCCAAACTCCAAAGCTTTTTTAAGGCGCCGAGAGGGCCCCATTTCCATCTGGGGGAGGGGTGGGGGAAAGCTTTAAAAAACAGCTGTCGGCATCAAATTACAAGCAGAGATAGTTAGTCAGATTAGTCTTATTACGACCATCTTTCCTTTTCTTCAGGTGGCCGTGGAGGCGTGTAGACTAGCAGCCCTGAGGTCATTTTATGGCCTTAATTCATAGCCTTTCGGTTGTATGGATGTAGTGTTTTCCGTTTTCGCACACATCCTGAATTGGACTCATTGGTTCGTTTTTGAGACAAACCCCACTTTCCCATTTTTTTAGTACAGTGAAACCAACGAATACATCGAAATAATTCATGAAATGTCGTATTCTTCACTTTCTGATAATGGAATGTTGCAGATATTTAGTTTTTTAATTAAATGATTATATGGAACAATTTAAAACTGTTCCCGCATATTCATAGCTATTAATTTATTTTTGCAAATACTGAAATTTACGAAATATAGTATAGAACTCATTGAAAAATTGTCAAGACGACATTTGATAAATTCTTCCGATGTATTCGCTATTAAGGGTTTTACTGTATAATCCGCAATTCAAAACAAAACTCACTTTCTAGAATCAAAGTTTTCACATTTTATTTGTTTTATTTGTGAGAAAATGAGAAAACAGACTTTATTTTCCGGCATTTTAAACAGATAGTTTTCCGCATTTCTCGTTCCACAATTGTATAAAGAACTAAGACCTCCCCGCCCCCCCCCCCCCGTAAATTTTGGGTAAGCCAGACGTCGGTCGGAGAAGGGTTAAGTCCTAAAAAATTATTTTTTTATTTTACGAAACCATATTAATATAAGGTTATTATCCTTCTTACATATATTATTTATATATTACGTAACTTACGTACAACGTACATTGTACAATTACAAAATACCCTCTTATCTACTGTTGATGTGTACAGCACACGTACACTTTGGAGTATCTAATTTTCCACCAGAGTTTTTCCGGCGGAAATCTTCATTACCAGAAAAGATTAACCGGAAAACGGAATTCCGTTAATATCCACTTGAAGTTCCGGAAAATATTTCAATCTAAAAGATTTTTGCTGAAAACTTTTTAGGGCAAACAAATGTTCTAGAATATCCGGCTTCCGGCGGAAATTTTATTTAAATTTTTGCATTTATTTTTTAGCTGAATTCAGAATATAAAAATAATATTCACAGTTTTTATTTTCCAATTTTTTTCAAATTGTTTTTGGAAAAGTTTAAAAATCATTATGTTCTGCCTCTTAGTTAAAAAAATTGAAAAAAATGTAAAAACATTATGTCCTGCATCATAGTATAAATACTCTAACGTAAAAACATTATGTCCTGCATCATAGTATAAATACTCTAACGTAAAAACAGTATGTCCTGCATCATAGTATAAATACTCTAACGTAAAAAATAATAAAATCAAATTGTAGAATTAACTTCATGTTTTAGCATTACAAGCTTTGGCCATTCTTTGTAAGGTTCAGACTTAATATCCAGAGAAATAATATATTGTTGATTACATCACTACATGTATATGTACGTTAACTTTTCATCAGCGGATCATGGATAAAAATGGTTTACTAATGCTGGCAAGTTTCCGCCGGAATTTTTCTTTGGATTTTTTTCGATGAAATAGTATAGATACAACTTATACATTTTTTCTATTTATTGTTTCAAATTGTTGTATGTACAAGAGATTGAGAAATAAACATTTAAGGAACAATTTTGCATAATTCTATTCCATTGGAAGACGACTTTAGAGCTTATCCCATCACCATGGAAGAAATGGGAGAAAGCTTGATAATGTTTTATAATTTCAGAATTTATGTGTATAAGGCCCCAAAAGAAAAAAAGCATTAATAAAAGAAAGATCAGCAGAAATATTGCTGTTGAAAATTAGAATTTTTCATTACAAATAAATGATAATTTGGCATATTTGAATTCGACAGTTACAAATGTTCAACTGGTTCTAACTGTACTGTTTTTACATTCAGAAACTAATGCATTATGAATGCAGTCCATTGTAAATTTTAAATAAATTCATGTTTTAACCATTCCATAAAAGCATTTAATGCTGAAGACATTTGTAACAATTTAAAAAAAATAATGTAATAAAAATTTAAGACACTGAGCAAAGGAGTAGCTAGAAAACAGTAGAATGTGTTTATTTTCTTTGAGCATAAAATGTCGCTAACGCTAAGAAATAAGTAGTTTGCGACAGAATTATTTCTAGAATTGTGCCTTAAACAAAACATTTATATTTACATTTACATTTTAGAATCAAAGGCAAAATCTAGAATGAAAAGAAAGCAAGATGACGACAATCATTCAATAATTTTCTAGTTACTTAACGTAAAAAATCTGTTATGTACACATAGAAGATAACAGTCATATCACAAAAAATAGACTCCTTTGATTTCCTGATTTAAAAAAAAATTCCAACACCCGAGAAACCCTTTCCGGGAAACTGGATAATTTTCGAAGCAAAAAGCTATTTTTCTTCAGGCCAACATGATTAGCACGATTGCCACATATTTCTTGCCACTTATTTTATAGTTTATTGGAATCAAGTGCTTTGAAGAGTGCTCGGAATTGTTAGGTAGACAGCTTTTTAGACCCGAGATTCAAGAAAGTCAGTCTGCAAGGGGGTTATTCTGATTTTAAAACTATGAGTTATTGACTGATATTATCTGGTTGATCCAACCGATGAAAGATGAAACCTTGACATAAACTCCTGGAACATCCTTCCTACCACACCCGAATCCCCAGCTGACAAGACCCGTCAGTTCGTGATAGCCAGAATCTTCACAAACTAAAGGACCTCCTCCGTCTCCCTAAATGTAAATATAATTCTTATAGAAAATTAATGTTTTTATTTTATTTACTACTTAAACATTGTCTATATGCTTTAAAAAATGTTTATTAAAAATGTATAAGAAAACTATGCGTCCATTTAATAAAATCTATACAACTTCTGAAGAAGAAGAAAATTTTTACCTGACAAGCGTCGTGACCCTTTTCTCCTCCGGCACAGAAGCTGCTGGCGGGAAGAATAAAAATCTTCTCTGTCACGCTGTTGATCTTCCTTACACACTCGTTGTCGTTAACGATAGGAACACGAGCCTCTCGAATACGTAGAGGGATAGGTCCAGCTAGAGTATAATTATTATTACCATATTTTGCATTATTTCATTTAATTTCTATTATTAAAATTCAAATACGTGCCGCGCTAAGGAAGTGGTTTCTATTTGGCCTGTACATTTTTTGTAATTCTTTTTTTCCTTAACTGTAGTTGTACATTTGGAAAAAAAACTTTCAATTTGAGTTATGAGTACAAATAGTATGCCAAATAGTCAAATAAATATGTTTTTAGGTTTGTTTTATTACGGACTAAAATCTCTATTTTCGAAATTTTGCAAGCAATAAATATTTAATTATATTTCTTTTGATCCAATATCTATAAACAAAGAGAATAGAACATATATTAGAGTGGAATTTAGTAAATCCCTCGGTATGAACAAGGGTGTAATGCAAGGAAAGTTAATTGCGGTCGTGTAGACTCTGCGTACATATGAAACCAGTTCTCTTTGGGCGGAATTTGTAAACAAGAATAGATGCATCAGTGTTCGTTTAGTATCAAAAGGGGGTTCAAAGCATTAAATTTGATAATTTTGATAATTCACATAATATTTTCCTAGGACCAGAATATTTCATTGATTTTTTATGTGAAAGATGGATCCCATGTCAGGCTGTAAAATCTGTTTTGTGTTTACATTACTGCCCAGAGACAGTATACTGCAGTACAAAAGTTGCGTACACTTTTAAAATAACTTTCTTTGCATTACATCTTTGGGTATGAATTTTGTCAGTCTCTTTCAGCCTGAAAGGGAGTTCAAAGTGTACAAATCATGTAAATGTTCACGAATTATATGCAGTAGAGTACATTAATACAGTATGTTCCCTAGACTATCCATTTCAATTTCGAATTTTTTAAAGCTGTTAAATAAAATTACAAAATGAATTAGGAGATTAATAAACATTATTTGATTTATAGTTATTGTTGAAAATCATCGTTTGTAAAGTGAAAGGCATAGAGTCTATGTAAAATGATCATTGGTCAATTATGAAACCAGCTTATTTCATAATTTAGTTTTCTTTCAATATAATTTTAGATTTTCTATAAAATGATATTCCACGGCCCAAAAGGTTAAGTAGCGCAAATATGTGAAGTACGCCTGCAGTATGGAAACACTACAACAAAATGGCCCTTTTACACTATTTTCTAGTATACTCCACTCTAATATATATTCTATTCTCTTTTTCTATAAATTTTCGGTATTTTTCTGAATATATTCTTATTTTTATATTGGTTTATGAAAGTGTAGTTCGTGTAGGCATGCAAGTATTGCGCAAACCTATCCACATATATTACTCTACAAGCTGACAGAATTAGTACATTAATTGACCAGCTGTTTTGTTATCATTATATAAACATTTGTAAGATATTTGGTTATTTTCCGAACTGAACAGGGGGGTTTTAATCAATAGAATTTCACCTATGTAACTGTTTTCAATCATAAAAAAATGAGAACATCTAATGCTTTACTGGGTTCAAAACGTCTTTTTTTAATTCGTCAACTCGTGAGAGGACATTATGTAGATTTACTTTTTTCTGAGTTTTATAACACATGTTAATATATCAAGTTGCACATATAATATTGTATTATATGTATATTCTTTAACACTAACTATGTACTTACTTTCTCCCATGTACCCGTATCCCGTGACTGTACACTTTTTGCCAGTAACTTGGCTTGTACCACGAGCAGGTAGGCAAACCAGGCAAACTCCCTCCTTTATCAAAAGTAAATTAATATTAGTAACATAGAGACTGCAAACTAGACCAAAGTGGAAGGTTAGTTGTCTGCGGCATTACTAGTACAACCTTGTGACCTCGTAGCTGCTCTAGTTTTAATTTTATGCATACATATCGAGAAGTGCAAATTTATCCGTTTACATTTTAGCTATTTAAATCTTTATTGTTTCATCTCTATAGATCTTCATTTAGGATTTCAATCTTCGTGCCATTTACTTTAGTTTTACAGGAAATAAAAGAAAAACAAGATGAGGTATTAAAAAAGAGAAAAGGGTCGGGAATGAAGTGAGTATGATTGTGAATAGAAGAAAACAAGATGAGGTATTAAAAAAGAGAAAAGGGTCGGGAATGAAGTGAGTATGATTGTGAATAGAAGAAAACAAGATGAGGTATTAAACAAAGAGAAAAGGGTCGGGAATGAAGTGAGTATGATTGTGAAGTTTAGAGGATAACGTTTACATATCTCGAGAAAAAATAGGGAAAATATAGAAAAGTTTTGAGATTAGAAAAAATCTGAAAATATTTTTAAGATATGCTAGCTGCTAGCTTCAATTAAATGGATAGGTTAGAAAATATATATTCTAATTATATCAGTAATTTTGCATGTTGAAACGTGTTCAAATGAAACAAAAAGAGAAATTTTCTTTCCTTTTCCTTAGAATTCATATTTACCATCTATATATAAATTTAGCTTGTCTGTTTGTCTGTTTGTATCCAATACACGTCAAAACGATTGAACCGATCGGGCCCAAATTTTTGTGGGACATCACATGACAACAGGGAAGGTTTATGAATAGTAAAATTTTTTTAAAAATGTGTTTTAAAGGTTTTTAATTTTATAAAAAAAATTAAATTCTTGAAAATCCGCGATTTTTTTCTAAATCCGCAAATTTTTTTTCTTCTTTGCTTTAAAATGTAAACAAAAAGAACATGTTCACAATTTTAATAGAAGATGGGCGCGAAGCGCCCTAAAAGCCTAGTCATTGGTAAAAAAGAGGAATTGAAAAGAGAAAAATCTAATATTCAATATGGGTATCTAATACTTTATTGAATGTTTTGATTATGTGAGAATCGAACAGCTTAGTATTATAATTTTTAAAAAAAACTATTTTTGTCTTTCATGAATTTTATGCGTTTTACATAAGAAACATTTAAAAAAGAACATTATGCAAAATCTTTTTAATATTTTATTAAAATCCATACATTTTATTGTTTCTTATGTTTTACAAAACATGCATAACATGTAGGATTTAGAAAAATTTTACAAAAACATTGCTTCTCTTTGACATTCAAAAGTTTTTGGTATACCTTTATGTTTAAATGGAATAGCTAAAATAAATAGATAAAAGAGATATTTGTTTTACCTTCAGTTCGGCCTCTCCGTGAAGTTTTAGAAGAGCAATATCATTATCAAGGGTCTGACTGTTATGGTTGTGATGGATGTATGTTGTTGCCACCCTTAGAGTCTGAGCACCCGGAGATCCAAACTTCTGTGTTAGATCATGATCTCCAACCCGGACATAAATTGCGTCACCAGCACGGACAATGCTAGAACAAAATTAAATAGAACATTATGTATACGTCACTTAGGATTACAATTCTAGATTTTAATTTCCACCGCGGCCCGGGATAGTAAATTCATTAAACATGTTTATCATCATTTTGACGGATGGGTTAATACAGTTAGAAAATAAGACAGAAGAAAATCAATAAGTAACATTGTATGGAATGTATAATAAAACCAAAAATGTATGTTTCATAAAATAACAAAATTTAGGATGTTGTTACATACCATCGAACCTATCAGAATGGTAAATCTGAAGGAGGTATGGAAGGGGTACGTAAACTAAAAATTTTCTTTTGTGAGCAATTATTGAACCATTTCATAGTTTCTTTTAGCCAAAACATAGTAAGATTTGAAATTGTCTTGTAATGGATATTACACCTAAGTTACGGATTTATTCTCATCCCCTTACAAAGTTTGTTAGATGACTAAAATACGATTTAGAAGATCATATCAAGTTGAAAAGAAAAGGAAAGTTACTAAGTGCGTGCATTGTCAACGGATTCTTCAGCATGAGTCTCAGTCTAGCATTATAATTTGGAAAATCATTGTGTCCGCTAAATGTTTCATTAAGAGTTACAATCAAGAGACCTTGCGCCTTATATAGGATGTTGAAGCTTTTTGTGCATTTATAATTCTTGAATCGAAATAGGAGCCTCAGTTTATTTTTGTGTTTTGATTTTTAAGTAGGTCTTGTTTCTTACTTTATTTATATAATGCATGATGCAGATAGCCTTCATCGTTCATCAAGTATAACTTGTTGAGAGAAAGGGTAAGGGGTGACTTTAGGTAAAAGAGAGAAAATGTTATGGTTAAATTTGAAAATATAGTGCGTGAAAAGCGCCTAGAAAATTTGTTAACTACTTTTTTAGTGAAAAAAAAACACATTCTGTTTTGGTTGGGACAAACTCATGGTTGACCTACCCAACTGATTGTTACTTTTGCGCAAGAATCCCAGAATGGTATGAGAGGCCAACCCCAGGGACGCTCAGGGGGAGGTGGTATTACTGCCCCCCCCCCCTCTCTGAATACACTATTGCATAAATATCATACTAAATACTTACTTTGTAACACAATGAGCCGCTGTGAGCACCCATTGTGTCCCAATGAGAGCTCCTCCGCAGAGATACTGGTTTAAAGAGTTAATTAGAGCAACCTGCCAACACCATTCTCCAGGTGCACCATCATCCCCACCTACCACTCGTCCCTTCCTGTGTGTTCCCTTTACACCACACACATACTTGTTCGTCACTGGGTATCTTAACTCAGGTCTCTCATTGGTAGAGGTGACAGGGAATGGATATGGATCATAGGTATCGTAATCGATAGCTTCCTCATCAGCATCTTCATATGGATTGTAGGGACGCTGTTCATTGGTATAGTTTCTCCGTATAGGTGGAGGGCGAAGCGGAGGGCGCCCCTGTGTCTGAGGGCGTCTCTGTTGTCCTTGCTGACCCTCATTCATGGTAGGAAAGTTAGCTCGGAAAAGAGATTCCTGGACTTTTTTAACCGCTGACTTAGGAGAACAGCAAATGGTCTTCCTTTTAGTGCACTTAAAGATTTCAGTGGTCTCCGCGTTACCAAAACATGTGAATGACAGGTAAGGAGCAATGCATGTGCCTGGACATTCTTCTCGATCGTCTGGAATTTCAGTAGTTGTGGTTGTTGGTTGTGTGGTTGTTGTAGTAGGAGGTGGTGTGGGCCTTGTTGGGGGAGGGGGTCTTTGGATCCTATTATTTATAGGTTGTTGAGGTTGTTTTGGTGCTAGCATACCTGATAAAACTGGCCCCAATAGGGGCATAAGAGAGGATATTGTCTGTGCAGTACTCTGGGAGCCACTGGCAGCTCCTATCAGTGCAGGAGCAGCACTGAGAAGCAACTGTGTGAAATCAGGTCCTGAAGGTCGTGGTGGCTGCTGAGGTCGAGAAGGTTTTTGTGGTTGAGGCCGAATTGGTGCTTGGAGAACAGGTTCGGCACGGTCTAGTCCACCCTGTCCATGGTCACAGCAGAAGGAGTCTGATGAACATGTATTTGTTCCTGATACAATTTTGGATGGAGAAGAACAGAGACCCAACATAACATTGGGAATACAAACTCCAGGACATTTTCTACCCTCATTCCGGTTTGCAGGTGGTGAAGGACGGGGTTTTGGACTTGATGGTTGAGTAGGTCTAGTTCGTTTTCCAGGGGTAGGGGTAGGTGGAGGTTTGTTTATACAACATTTCCCCTTGCCAGGACATTCCCCGTTTTTATCTACAGCATCACAGAGTAGGGCGAAAAAACCAGCTACACAAGTACCTTTACATCTTTTCTCTTCTGGAATTTCAGGTTCGACTGTCTCCTTTTTTTCCTCTTTTATTTTCTCTTTCTTCTCTTCATCCTTATTAATAACCTCAGATGTAATGCTTTCAGCGGTGTCCATCATCTCTAGATCATTGTCCTTAACTTGTTCCACCTTCTCTTCATTATCCTGTTTTTCTTCTTCTGTAACCTTTTCCTTTAGATTTGTTTCCTTCTTGTTCCCACAGCGAGGATCCTCTTTGGGAATGATTAGCTCTTTTGGAGCATCATCATCTGAAAAGATCTTCTTAGCAACACAGCAACGAAGGTCGTCTTTACATAACTCTGTAACGTTAAGAATTGCCTCACAAAAGCAAGATATACGGTCTGCAACACATACTCCAGGACAGCTTTCTGAAATACAGCCAGAGATAAAAATCATAAACTAGATTTTCCAGTTAACTCCAGAAAAACATAACCGGGAGAAGTTCAAGCAAAATAAAGTATGATCAGTCTCAAAATGAGTCAATTGAATTCTTAAAAATTCTTCCGCCTACTTTTTTATCTGAAGTGATCTGAGATTCTACTGTGGTTGTTGTATATCTCAATATTAAAATTTTATTTCTACAAAGCTTTCATATACAGGGCTACCCACAAAGGATGAGACGGCTGCACGGATTTATCCTGTAAACTGGTTTCTTTATTTGAAAAAGCACTAAAACGCCATTAAAAAAATTTTTAATTCAACGCAGAAGGTTAAATGTAGACTTAAAATCGTCATATTTAAGAGTTTCAGATCGTCTTTACAGTCTCTTCTTTTGTGGGTAACCCTATAAATTGATAGCTTGTCAAAATAAAGAATTTAAAAAACGTTAGCTCCTTCCAGACTTTCAAATTAAATCAGTCTAACAAAAAAACATTGAAAACTAAATTGAAATTTAATGAGAAATAATATCTTCATGGAATACTGAACATGAAAGTTGAGACTGAGAGAGATGACTTTTCGAACGAAAAAAAGGTTGAACGACTTAAAAAGCTTATCATAATGTATTGGATTTCTTTGTTTCTTCAAGCAAAATATAACCAAAGGCTATTTTTATTTTATTTTATTAGATAAATTAAAATCGGAAGAAAATTTTATATTTCTCCAGAAAATTTGAAAGCATAAAAACATGTTGAAAATATGAAACTGTATCAAAATCAAAATTTGGGCTGTGCGACGTGAACAGGGGCACGAAAATTTAACATGAAAAAATATGATATGCGTATGGATGTCTTCAATTTGATTTGTGAAAACCTTTTTCACTTCAACTGCTATAGAGATTCCCTCTCTAATGCAAATTTTGATTTAATCAATATGCTAGGTTTTGGTGTACAATCCATCGATATTTTAAAAAGAATTTTTCTCCTTTGAGATCCTAATTAAATCAAATAAGAAAGAAAACCTCAACCAAGCCAAAGTGTCAAACTTTAAGCTGTCATAATTTCCTCAGTTAACCTACAGCCCTCTAATCTGTGTCTATCGATCAGAAATAATTTGAGATATTGCAAATATTTCATACTTTCCGCGTAAATTTCTGTTGCCATATCTTTATTACAATTTTAATTAATCTATCATTATAATTATCTTTGGCCTGTTCTGTCTGTAATGTAAAATCTAAAAATATTTTGAACAGTTACTGACAGGTGCTGATTCTATAGTTGGTCCATGTTTGATTATCATGATCAAAGGAATTGAGTTTTTGCCACAAACTCAAATCTTCTGATCTCAATATCTTTGCAACCTGATGGTACAAACCTTTGATATTTCAAACTTAGATTATGTTGTCTATAAGTATTAATAGTTTGAAATATCTAAGGTCTACGACATTGGGTTACAAAGATATTGAGATTTGAAAATCAGAGTTTGTGGCAAAAACTCAACTCCTTTAGGACTTATTTGATAAATAATGAAACATTTCTTGGGATATTTGAAAAATGCGATATAACTGAAAAAATAAATGCATGAATAAATGCATTTTATGCATTTATGTATTTGTACTGTACAGCCTGCTCTAGCTGGTTAAAATTTAGCCCGGTTCTTGAATTGAACCGCAATTGGCAGTGATATGTGACTTTTTCTGTGCTTACCATTATACATGCAATATTTAATTCATTTTGAAATAACAGTTTTTATATTTTCAAATATTATTTAGCAATATCTCTTCTTATTTATTCAATACACGAACCTTATTTGCACAAAAATCTTTTTTTTTAAATTTCACTCTCTGCAAGATATTTATATTTAAACTTAATATATTTCAAGTTTGAAAAGACTTCAGACAGTTTTAATCAAAATCACATTATTTTTACTGATCTTAACAGTCTAGAAGAACTCAAACCTGTTCAAAAAAGCTTTTTCAAATTTGAAATATATATTATTGTTTGTTTGTATTAATGATTTCACAAGATGAGATTCTTCTGTACTGCTTGGTTTTTGCATACACATTTGTTAAGGGGTTAATCAAACTTTAAGGATAATGGAGCTAAACATTAAATAGGAGCAAACATTTAGATAAACAAAGAGTAAGTTTAGGTAACAGGAAGTAAAAAAGCAAAAGGAAAAATATCTAAAAACGTAAATTAGGTAACAAACACAATGGCTAATTCAATTAAATGTTTGTGAAGAATAAACCGGAAGGAAAGTTAGGAAGTGTTTTTTTGTGTGTGCTTGAATATATTTTCACTCAACTGTGAAACTATCCTTGAAAATATATTTCATTAAAGCTGTATAACACAGTGAACCCCCCTCCCCCCCCCCCCCCAGCACCACACATCCATATCCTTAAAATATAAATTTGCCAAATCACAAACTTATTATTTGATGTTTTGCTAAACCTTAGAACTATTCTACGTACAAAGGTGACACACACATGTCCAGTTATAAATTCAAAATAACGTTATAAGCCACATTTCGGAAAATTATAAAGTCAGGGGGAAAATCTTTATTAATTGAGTACTATCAAACACCCTCTTGTATCGAAGACCCCACAGCCTTCTTTACAGCCTTTTCTTCGGAGACCTTAGATTTTTTTGGAGGGCTCAAGCTTATTGTAGGGGAACTTGAACTCTTCATTAGAGACCCCAAGGTCAAAGCTTTTAGTTAAAGACTCCAAAATTTGATTTCAGACCAGAAGCTTTCATAGGAGGCCCCCAGCTTTTAATCAGAGACCCCAGATTTTGTTTGAGACCCCAGATTTTCTCAAACTTTTATTTGAAACCCAATGCTCTCCAATATAATTTTTAGATAAAAATCGGGGGGTATTAAAATCTAGTGGTGTCCTATAAAAATTTGGGGTCTACGACAAAAAGCTAGAGGTCTCATTTGAACATCTGGGGTCTCTGATGAAGAGTTTGGGTCTTTTACGAACATGTAGGGGTCTCCAAGGAAAATCTGGGGGTCTCCTATGAAAGTCTGGGGGTTTCTGATGAAAATCTGGGCGTCTACAATAAAAATCTGAGATCTCCATTTAAACGCTTGGTGTATCCAATGAAAAGATTGGGGTCTCCCATGAAAATATTGGAGTCTCCCATGAAAATCTGGGAGTATCCGATGAGATGGGTCTCCAATAGTAATGATGATCATATCTTACCGGACTTAAAGTTATATCTAATTTGATTATGAGAATCATTATGAGAATCAAGAAGTGTTCATTGACAACCATTGTCCACGAGGAAAGTAGAAAACTGGGAAAGGAAGAGGAAATTATTTTCTAGAAAATTGCTAAAACAAGAAAAATTACTGAAATAGTGTTGCTAAAAAACCTACTCGCTTCAGAGCTATTTCCCGGTGACGTGTACTCATAGTCATCATCATCATAATCATCATCCTGTAATGCAATTTCAGTATAATGAGATATTCAAGTCTAAGTCACTTTTATCTATAAAGTTTAATTTTACCCTACAAAGTGTTTGCTGAATAAGAAGTAAAAGTCATATATTTTCTTTTTAGTCAACGAATATACCAGTTTAGAAACAAGAAAATAAAAGAGCTCTCAGATTTAAATCCCAAAAAGACAGAATAAGGAATTTTTAGCTCAAAAAATATCTTTATTTATCTGCCATGTGTAGTAAAATAACGAACAACCTGCTTTTTAGATTGACTTGTTGTTGGTTCTGCAGTTGTTGTTGTAACTTCGGTAATTGTTGTTGTGGTAGTAGTTGTGTTTTTATTCTTCCTTCTTCTTTTCTTAGGTTTATGTGTCACATCCTCCTCCTCATCTGGTTTTGCGACCTCTTCTTTATTGTCATCCTTCTGATCAGATACCTCTTCCTCTGATGTATTTTTCTAAAAATTATACTACAGTAAAATAATCAATAAACCTGCCTGTAAGATTATTGAATTTAATTACTTTTTTATAAAAGTTTATCTTAAAATTATTATCAACATTATCAAATTAGTGTAATATTGTCTTGTATATATATATACATAAAAGATTACCTCTTCATCTGATGTCTCAGATGATTTATCTTTCTTTTTGTTATTTTCTTCTCCGAGAGAAGGGAGTGGAGCCCCCTTTTCTACACAGCATCTCATATTAGGGGAGGGGCACTCCACCTCCTCTCTTACATCGTCACAGATGAGAGAAGCAAGGGAATGAATACATTTACCAGGACAACTGTCAACGCTAGCTGTCTTTGTAACAGACCCTAACAGTCCTAAAAAAAATAACATGTTTAGAATTTGTGTTGTAATTGATCGAATTGAATTAGTATGAATTTAAGTTTCCAAAACAAAAAGTTGAATCTCTAAATGATTTTTAAAAAATTAGGGGAAACGAATCCTTATACTAAACAGAGTTAAAATCGGATCTACCGACATGCTTTATGATCAAACAAAATAATTAATAACACCTTCCAAATGAAGGTTAAATAAATCGGAAGACACAGTCGATGATTTAAAAATGTATTCATTTTTATTTTTAAGAATCCATTATTGAATCAATAAAAAGTTAAAATGTATTAAAAGATGTAAGGATATGGCCGGGGGGGGGGAGGGCGATACGTAGGCCTGTGATTGGTCCATTGAACATAAAATGAAAGGAAAAGTTACATGTCATGTCTGTATGCAGATTTAATCAAAGAAATGCGAAGTAGAATCAAATGGGAGAAAGGGGTTTCAGATAAATTTGTATCTTTAAAGGTAGGTTACTGCTTCGCCCCCCCCCCATCCTCCCATCCTCCCATCCTCAACACCCCATTAATTGTGACAGACAGTAACTATTGTTTTGAAAAGACTTTTGTCGTTTCAATAACGATTCAGCGAAGTCTTGTTAGTTTTAAGATTCTTCGTTCCTATAACAATGGTAAAAGTGTGTATCTGTATACTATAGTCGTTTATGTAGTACATAAAAATAATTTTACCAGAACTGATAAATTGTTTTTAACAAACTTCTAATTCTTAAATTTTTAAATCTCTCCTGTAAGTAAAAATTAGCTTCAATAATTTTCCTTACGAAAACTAAAACTAACGTTTTTGTATTAAAACTATGTTTTCGTCGTTTCGACTTTTGTTTTCTATAGTTCAAAACTATCATTTTATTATTAAGATTTTAACAATAGTTTTACAAAATCGTTTTGGTCAGAGACAAAATTTTGCACAATCTTATAAGAGCAATATTACCAAGCATACAATTTTGAAAAAGGAGAAAAACATATGTTTTCAAAAATATATTTCTTTTTAAATACCACACTTGCTTGAGAATTGCCTGCAGATACAAGACGGATGTAGAGATGCAAGGCTGGCCTATTATTGCATGGCGGAATACCTAAAGCGGTAGGGGATATGTTGTTGATTTAAAAGGTAAGAATAGGTTTTTAAATCTTTCCATTTTTTACAAACTATAATAACATTTTTTAAGAACCCTAAACTTTTTGGGGTTAAAACAGTCGTTTCCCATCCCTACTTAGTACTTACAAATCATTTAATACAATCAGATTTTTTTAAATCGTGGCTGTTATTGTGTTATATGTTTCTGTAAGCAAAATTGGCCGAGCCCAGCATGAAATCGTGAGAAAATTGAAAATTAAACAAGGGGAAAGTTTATAAAAAGCTCAAGTATTTGTTTTATTTCAAAGCAGCAGACATCATACGTATATATATCTATACATAAAAGGTCTAACTAAGATTTTAAAATCGTGTAAGACCAATGCGATTTTTGATAATTAAACAATATTAATGGGTGTCCAACGAAAATTTATTGGTAATAATTTCATGCTGGGAGAGGTAAATATCATTATGAATACAAATGTTAAAAAATTTATCAATCAGTTACAGCGGATTGTTTTTGATTTGGGGGTATTTAGGGATTGCCAAAAATGCACCCTATGACTATAAACCCAAAGTACACCCCTGATAAAACTAACTGTGAAAAGATCAAGAAACACCCCACCTCCACCCCCAGAAACCTAACCTATATTAAGGGCAAGAGGAGAAATTATGTCACCTAAACCTAGTGAAATTCCTCACATATAGGTCAACCTCAGGCAGCTTAAGCTTTAGGCCTTATATGTATAACACAGGATATAGACAACGGTAAAAACTAGAAACGTGTAATGAATTAATGTCTATATACCATAGATTTATATGAAAATTTGATAATTTGTACGAACCAAACTTAATCAATAACGAATTAATAAAAATTAGATTAAAAAACGTATTACAATAAATATGGACAATAGCATTTATAATATAATCAATCGAATCTATTCTATGTGGAAAGTTATAAAAAATTGTTGGGTTAGGGTTCTAATCTCAACTATTAATAGGAATGTTTAGGGCCCAAATTGACTGGAATGTCAATCATACTACAGAAACAGTTAGAAACCCAGGATTCCAGGGGTAAAGGAGGGAAGGATGAGGGGGGGGGGAGGGGTTGCCAACCTGAAAGAAAAGAACCAAACCCTCCGGACTGTTGTGGTCTCCTTGGAGGAGGTAGATCTTGTCTCTGCTCCTGATCCTGAGCTGAAGCCTTGTGTACTCCCTGAAGAAGAAGAAGAAGGCAGGGCAGGATAATCAACTTCATGTTGCTGTTGACCTACTTAACAAGTCTGTTCAGGGTTGCTTTTACACATATAATATAGTTTTGTCTAATCACTTTAAAAACATGTACAATCCTCCATATTTAAGTCATTATAGTGTGCTGAATATTTTTGAACTGTTCAACTGTTTTTTTCTTTATCCAACGCTCAATCAGGTTTCCTGTGGATGTTAACGGTGCAAGAGAGAGTAGCGTACTGAACAGTCTCTGCCTGGCGCGGTCAAGATTTCACACAGGACAGAAGAGGAGGGGGATTAGTGTGGAGGGGAAGGGGGGGGCTGAACCAAAATGATTTGATTCGTTATTAACTGCTGCAATAATAAATATAACGCTTTTTTATTCTTCTTCAAAGTTTTTAATATTTACGTTTATACCTTGGAAGAAAATTACAACAATTCTAAAAAGGCTAAATTTGAATTGAAAAGTAATACTGTTTCAACTTCGGCCAGGGTTATTTTGTTGCACAATGGAAGGGAGTGATCATGATTTATTCACATTTTTCCGACATGACTTCATGTGGATCAAATTTTTTAAAAATTAAAACGAAAAGACATAAACATATTTATTTTAATCATTACGTGTAAAATACATTTTAAAGACAAAAAAGATGCACAAAAGTGTAAATTATATAACTCAGTAAACTTTTTTTGTAAGCTGGCAAAAATATATGAAAATGGTCTTTTTAGAGATTTTGTTTTCAATAGGTAAATAATAATAACAACACCAATACCTTACAACAATATTTATAAAACTAAAAGTTTAAAATAGCTAGCATAAAAGAACCACACGTGTTTACCAATATGATCAATGGTACATCTTCGTTTGTGATTCTATCCAACAATCAAAACTTTAAATGGCGATTTATGTCTTTAGAATAGAAATTACTAGATATTTTTTGACTAGTGTTCTGTTCTTTAATTTATTTGCCGGTGAATGTAAATGATAAATGTTTAAAGTTGGAGAAAATTCGTTCAAGAAACAAGTTCTAAATTGGTATGTGCCCACAAAGGAGGATAGTTTAGAGACGAGTGTATGGAAAGTATTCTGTCTGTTTTCTTATTTATCATGATTTCCTGCAACTATAAACTTTTTTTTTGTACCAAATCAATAAATAAGCAAGTAAACATGGTTATCGTCATATTTTAAGAGTTTCAGGTCGTCTTTACAGTATCATCCTTATTGTGTAATCCTGTAAAAAAAGGATATCCCCCAAAAATGGCAAAAACTAGCTTGCAGAACAGACCTCACAGATCATCAATAATAACAAAATCATGCAAGAAGTAAATCTAGAAAAAGAAGAAAACAAGAGCAATGACATCCATCATACAGAGCAAAATCGACAGTAACAAGACCAGCTCTGTGGGAAGGAAAGTCAAAGGAAACAAAGTATCAAAGTATAATTAAAACAGGAAGGAAAGGAAGTAAGGCAGGAAGTGTAGAAAGTATGTACTTAAAATAGAGCAAGAAGTGTATTAGGGGCAAAAGAAGAGAAGTGAAAAAAGCATAGAAAAAGGACAGAATCCACGGTGCAAGTTCAATTGGAAGCAGGACAAGAAGAACGAAAGAGATAGAAAGTGAAAGAAAAGAAGTAGTCAAGCAAGTATTTGTGACTAAGCAGGTGGGGAAGGGGGAGATATTACTATTTTGGAAAAAAAGAAAGTGCCTTATAAAAAACCAGACAAAGATTCAAATTAGAACGAACGGAAGAAACCTTGGGTCCCAGTAAAATTAGAACCTCAATTCGATTTTTTTTAATTCAAAAAATTAAATTAGTGCAACACAATTTTCAAGGAATCAAGTTCTCACCCGAAACAGGAATAAACCAGATTTATGTATGTATATATGTATAATTCTAGGGATATCTTATAGTTGTAGACCGTAAAATCAAAGGCTAACGCATTATGACACTTAAAAGTCAACCCGGTATAGAAAATTGATTCAAATAGTATACTAGGCTTTCAGGGCAATTCGCGCCCATCTTCTATTTCAATTGTAAACATTTTCTCTTTGTATACATTGGTGTATACTGTATAACCTGTAGTATACATAGTATTTTCTATAATTGGTTGATATTGTTTTTAGCTTTTTATCTTTGTATAAAGTAATAATCTCTGTTTTATAATGTTTGCTAGCATGTCCGATCATAACTTACTAACCTCATGACCAATTGGCCTCCAATTTTGATAAGTGAACCCGGGGCACCGGTTAATGTTTAATTATTTATTTAATTATCTGTGTTTAGTGTTAAATGTGTGTTCAGTGTTTATTTGTATTTAGTTTCTATTTTTATTTAATGTTTATCTGTGTCAGCTGTTTATTTGTGTCAGCTGTTTATCTGTATCAACTGTTTATTTGTACGTTTCAACTGTTTATCTGTGTCAACTGTTTATCTGTACGTGTCAACTGTTTATCTGTACGTGTCAACTGTTTATCTGTTTCAATTGTTTATCTATGTCAAATGATTATCTGTATTTAGTTTTTATTTGTATTTAATTTTGATTTCTTTTTAGTTTCTATCTGTGTTTGATGTTAATCCGTGTTAATTGTTTTTCTGTGTTTAGTTTTTTTCTGTTCTTATTGTTTATCTGAGTTGTGTGTTTATCTGTATTTTGTTTTTATCTGTGGTTGGTTTTAAGCTGTGTTTGTTGTTTATCTTTGTTTAGTGTTATTCTGTGTTAAGTACCTACATATGTTAAGTGTTAATCTGTGTTTATTGTATATCTGTGTTTAGTGTTAATCTGTGTTTATTGTAAATCTGTGTTTTGTGTTAATCCGTGTTTAGTTTTTTTCTGTACTTATTTGATTTATAAATATTTGAATTTTCTTCAGGTTTGGATTTCAACCTGCATCCACGATAGGGTAGCTAATGACGTTTGAAAAGGAACTGGATGAAATTTCATCCAAAAAGTCTCCAAAATAATTTAACTTTGAAATGCTAAAATTATGATGTATAAATGAGGTTTTCTTTGATAAATTGAAACTCTGTCAAATTTGATGAAATTTATTTTTATAATTTGCAATCCATGTAAAACATTTTATATGCCTTGAGACAGGTGACCGGCTAAAAATATTATGTTTTCGATAGAATTTTGCGCAAATTTATAGTTGGTTTATTTCGTGTAAGCAATAAATAGGTCTATAATTTCAAGTGACCTTTCATAGATGGATGGCAATGCCTGATTTAAACAGTACCTTTAAATGTGATACTGTGGAAGACGATGCCTGGCCGCCTTTAACAAGTTCCACAAGATTCAACGGAATGAGATACGGGGCATAGTACTGAAAAACATCTACACGTGTGATCTCGATATAAACTATTATTCTGAACCCCTCTAGTAATAAGTTATAAGAAATATATATGATGGAAGTTATTTATGCGTTTTTTTTTCATTAGAGTCCGACTCACGTCCTCTATAATACGAATCTTAAAGATTTAATTATTTTTCTAGGATTAAAAGAATTTATTTGTGATGTTTTAAAAATGTTTTCCTATAGTAGAAATGCACTTTTTGCACAATTGAAAATAATGAGTTTTTAAAAACATAAATATTGATATCTAAAGCATGCTTAATCAGCCAATGCTCTTAATTAAATATTTGATCTATGTATAAAAGTAAAAATAAATGTATCTATTTAATCTATTAAATACTGTTTGTTACCAGCTTTGTGTCTCTTTGTGAAACCCTGTATAGGGTAGAAGCTTTGTTTTAATTACATATTCATTAAGAGGATTTGGAATAAATATTTTTTTCAATTGTGCAGAATTAGCTGCAGAAGAATTATAATCAATCAATCAATCAATAGGGGTCTAATACATTTTTGTACATTAATGAATTAAACTTAGTGGTATACAAAGGAACTGATTACTCTCCTCAACTTCTAATCATATTACTGTATCTTTGCAACTTGAATATTTGAGTTTGAGAAGAGTAATCAATTCTTTACTTTTCTAACTCTAAATCTTGATTTATAAATGGATAAAAATAGATTAAAATCCATTCTTTAAAACGTTTTAAATGGATAAACATGCAGCCTTAAAATGGTGTTAAAAAATGGAGTTTTTATCCAATAAAAAAAATGAGTGAGAACCGATTATAAAATGGATTTTACGCATCAAAAAATGGGCTTTAAACCATGTGTTTCGCAACTACCCGTTGCCCTAGATTTGAGTAAAGGTATACCGTGTGGTGTTCCTTCAGATCTGACCGTAAGCTGCTCTGCAAAAAGATGATCTCTCCATAATAAATTCTAGATAAGTCTTCTAGTTTTATTACGCAGTTATTGTCAGGTAAAAACTCACCACATTGGTCCTCAAAACACTTCACAGTAAATAAATAATTGTAGCGATCATATACAGTCTATCTACTACAAAAAGTTTAGCATTACTAATTAATCGGGCTGCCGCAGTACATACTTAAAACCGTTTATACTATACAAATTACAAAATACAAGTTTCTAGAATCTTCTTTGTTCTTGAGATATACACCACATTTAGGGGTAAATACGGTGCAGTACAGGGATGATAAATTGGTCCTTCTGGCAACGAGAGTTGCGAACACCGTGTTAGTTTAAACTCACTTGCTGAAACAGAAATATTTTGTTTTAAAGATGTCTTTTGACTGGTTTGAATCACTTTTATTTTAAACTGGTTATTTCTGTATTTAAAAAAAAACTTATATTAAACGTCTAAAACCTGGGTGCTTAACTTTGTAAAAAAACACCATTTTAAACCGTTTGAAAAACTGGTATTGGTGTAAGATCACATGAATGAAATCCGTTTTAAAATACTCGGATAAAAACACACTGTTAAAAAACGATTTTATCTCTACTTTAAAACCAAAAAAGAAGATTTAAAACCTTCTAAAACCCCTTTTTTAAAGTCTTAAAACATTCTGTAGAACTGTCTTAAAAAAAACGTTTTCAGTACACGGGTTTTATTCAGGTTCTGGTTTAAAAATAATAGACTTTTATCTGGATTGAACTCTGCTTTGTGTTGTAGGTGATTTTATCAAAAAAAAATTGGTTGATTTTTCAAATTAAAAGAAAATCGAATTTTGTTTGAGGCAAATTTTTCAAATTTTAATCATCTATAAACCTTTACTGGGGCCATGTAAGGTCCCACACAAAATTTGGGCCTGATCGGTTTAGCCATTAGGGATTTAATTGGATAAAAACAGACAGACAGACAAGCTAAGAATATAGTATAAAGTCCCCTAGAGAGGTTACAGAGAGTTTTTGTGATTCAACCACTAGTCCT